ATACAATCCCTATTAAAATACCAATGGCATATTTCACAGAGCTAATTATTTTTAATGTATCTTAAGCATAAGCTCTTGGAAAAAATAAATTAATAGATACTTTTAATCAAAACTGATTAATGATTATTTAAAACTTAAACATGTAGACCAGATAATAAAATGTCCTTTAACTTTAGAATCAACCATTAATCAGTGAAAATAACAACGGTAACACCATAATTAGATTGGATGTCCTTCTGGATGACCTTCTGGACAGAGCCAGGCTGCTTGGAGGGAAGCCCAGGCCCCAGGTGCTGGCAGCTGGGGGAAGGCCGGCCTAGTTTTGCATGAATTTTGTGCATTAGGCCTCTCATGTTTCAATAAAGTCCATTCTTTATTAGCACCACACTCTAACCAACTGAGCTAACCGGCTAGTCACTAAAGTCCATTCTTTAAAGTCCATGTTTCCTTCTAGAGTTTCAATGTCCTCATGAGCTGCTGGGCTGACACCTAGCTCTGCTGGTGCAGGTAGAATGGGGAGGGCCTCTCAGGAGAGCTCTCACATAAATTGAAAATCAAAAGACATATGTTTGAAAGTCTGGCCAACTGATGTAATTCAAGTCTGATGTGAATTTATTTCTCAAAAACATAAATCCCAAATGCAATGACCATTTAGCTGTTTCTGAGACTATTCACAAAGAAGTAAATTTTGTTATTATTGCTGCTTTATATTAAGGCCCGTGAGTCTCAACAAGAACATAATAAAAAACTGTATATGTTCAAACAATTTTTATAGTAAAACTCTGCTGAACTAGTAAAAATGCAAATTGGACATTTTCTTGTAAAGAAGTGAGGCAGGATTTATTTTCAAATACCAAAACAAATAGCTAAGAGCATGTACTCCTAAATTAAGAAAAAAAGACCACTAGTACCCTGTTTCCCCGAAAATAAGACAGTGTCTTATATTAATTTTTGCTCCCAAAGATACGCTAGGTCTTATTTTCAGGGGATGTCTTATCTTTCTATGCGCTAGGTCTTATTTTCAGAGGTTGTCTTATTTTCGGGGAAACACGGTATACTTAGCAGATTTCCAGTGCCCTGGTACTAATAAGTATTAAAGCTATTAATAAGTCTTAATAGGTTAAACAGTCCTCTGCACCTTACTTCTATAATTTGCTTGACAAGAAACAAAAAAGAAGGAACAGCATTAGTCTTGCAGTATCCAAATTACACAAATCACAGAACCCAGGTACAACTTTATGAGGTTCACTAATCACAGATGAGGAAACTGAGGCCAGAGAATTAAACTGACTTGTTCCCAGATGATAAGGTGAGCCAGACCTTAGGTCTGCTCCACTGCTCCTATTAGAGGGGCTCCCAGTGCAGATAAACCAACATATCCCAAGGTGCTTTCTTGGTAAAGATGTCTACAATTAGTTAATTTTGATTATAGCACAAGTCTCTTTTGAAATACCTTTGGTTTTATTTTCTGCATAACAAGAATAGAAGATGGGGAAAGAGGCGGGATGAGAAGACCACTGGGCTTAATGCACACAGTCAACATGAAATCCTTGTGCAGACACTGGAGCAATCATGTTTTCCATAAAACAAAGCCATAGGGCAAACTGCCTAAGAGTAAAACGTAAGCTAACGTGAGGCAAGAACTAAGTCAAATAAAAAGGGAGAAAGGTGGATCATTTCCCCGGCACACCTAAAAAGTGCGGTAAACTAAAAAGGTTTAAAAAACTAAACAAAGAAATTTACTAGTTTGCTGATAAGACCAATTACGGAGAAGTGAGTGGAAGGAGTCTATAGAACCAATAAAAAAGAGCTTGTTGAGCATTAATATTCTATGTGTGACAGCCTTTAACTCTCGTCACAAATTTGGAAAATAGGCCTCATTATGTCTACTTAAGAAAAAGCTGACTTCTGGGTATCTAACCCTAAATTTTAAAAACATATATTCATAAAGATAGATGTACCCCTCTGTTCATTACAGCATTAGCTGTGGTAGCCAAGACATAGAAACAACTTAAGTGTGCTTGGATAGACAATTTCATAAAGGAGATGTGGTCCATATGTATAATGGAATACTACTCAGACATAAGAAAGGATAAAATACTGCCATTTGCGACAACATGGCTGGATCTTGAGAGTATCAATTTAAAGAGTCCGACAGAAAAGGACAAGAACCACATATAAATCACTCGTATGTGGATATAAAACAGAAAACTCAAATGAACAAACTCACAGAAACAGACAGCGGTATGAAGGGGACTAGAGGATAAAGACGGTAAACGGGGTCAAACATATAGTGACAGAGGAAGAACAGACTGGGTGGTGAGCGTACAATGCAATAGGCAGTTGATGTGTTACAGAATGGTGCACTTCAAACCTATAACATTAATTAAAAAAAGAAGCTGAGGAGATATGGACAGGTTCCCCAGCTACTAAGTGGTGAAGCTGGAGTTCAAATCCTGGTCCCACTCTCCCACTCTCACTTCCACATTCCAGGGCCTCCTAGTGGTCAGGATTAGGGAGAGTAAATACAGTCTTTCAGCGTTAACCTCTCCAAACCCTTCAAGTTCCCAATCCCACGATTGTAGAAAAAGGGCTGACACAAAACAGAAGGTGCAGTTCCTGAATAAGAAAATGGGGACCCCAGATAATCTATCACCCTTTTCCAATGAAATATCAGACAATAATGAATGAATATAATCTTTACTGTAAGCAGCACCAGGAAATACTGTTACATTGAATTACACTTGTTCCTGCTGTAACTAAGAGGTCACTCGTTGTACAGGCATGCATGTTTAGGAAACTTTACATGGGAATTAAACCAGAGCCTGAAGTAGAATGAGACAAGGAAAACTTTCTCGGTTAACCTACAATATAGACAGGGATCCTCTGACCCTTGCAGGCTAAGGTGAGCCTATCACGGAGTGCACACTCTGCAGCAACTTCAGCCTCCGCTAATTTGACCAAGAACATTCTCTCCTCTACAGATTGAGAATCACCTCATTTCTCACCCAAGATAATCACTCAGAGGATGCTCCCTTCACAGCCTCCCATTCCCACCAAGGTAACTTTCTGCTATCTCATCTACCTGGGTCACTGCTAGGAATCATAAAGCAAGCAAGAGAGGATGGCAGAAGGCCAAAATAAACACCATAACGTTTATTTAATTCAACCCAGCAAGAATTTATTGAGAGTGCCCTATTCACCAGGCATGATGCCCGATGCTGGAGATCTTGGTGATGATGATGGTAGGAATAATTACAGCAGCAGCTACCACAGACTGCTTAACATAACCCAAACTTGGTTACAAACACTTAAATTCATTGGCTCCTCCAGACAACCCTATGAGGTAGCGCCTATTATTAATATAATATCCATGAGTTTGTAATAAGGATACTGAGGCATGGAGTGAGTAAGTAACTAGCCCAGGGTCACATCCAGGAAATGGAGGATGTGAGCCCAGACTGTCTGGTTTCTGAGTCTGTACTACCTGCCACTAGAGTACACTCACTCTAAATATGAGTAGGGATAAGGGATACAGAGGTCAATAAGACTATCATCACCTCTGGAGCTAACAGTTTAATCATGAAGACAGGCAAATGCATCTTAGAGGGAGATTATAGTAGATTATGGGTGGTGAGCAGGGAAGGCTCCCAGCAGGAGATGACCTGTCAGCTGAATTTGGAGCGAACCTAGGGAGATAGGGTACGGGGTACACTCCACAGGAGACAGCAGCTCTCGCTAAGCCAGCTAGGGTGAAGAAAAGCATGGAGAGTCGGGATACACCAGCTGATCACTGAAGCTGTGCCCAGAATGTGTGTAAACAACAGTGTGTTGTTTTGGTGACAAAGAAAGGAAGTTGACGGTGGAAAGGTAAATAGAAGCAAACTCCTAAAGGACCTGGCACGGCATGCTAATGTCTTACAGGATTTATCTTGGAAGATGTGGAAGGGTGTGAATCGGGGAGCCAGCTGCATTTGGGAACCACTCAATAGTGTATAAATGTTCAGAAGAGGGTGAACCTGAGGGAAGGTGAAGCAGATAGGAAGCTGGCAACGAGTGCTATTAGGTGAGAAGACAGTAGCTTCGAGGGGGTGGTGGCACTGGGGTGGAGGAATGAGGACCACCAGGAATCTACCTTGAGAATGCAGTAGAAGTTTGCATGCCCTCAGACAAGGAGCCCTGGCAGAGGAGCAGGCTTCAGGTATGGAGAAGGACCCATTTGCATGTAAGTCTCAGGCACTTGTCTCGGAGGAAATGCACCAAAGAACTCTAAATTCTTTTTTAAAATATCGTTGACAAGTATAAGGTTTTCATTTGTCTTTCCCGTGTATGATCAGAAGCTAAAAATTCAGGAGGAAGGGTTTTTGGCCAGGAAACAAAAAGGCTGACAGGAGGAAGGGAGCAGATGGGAAATGATTCAATGAGACAACTTGGGAATGCAGAGGTACAGCAAAGAGCTATTCCCATCCCAGCGGGGTAATCACAGCACACCCCGAGAACAGGTTATAAGGTTAGTCTGATCATCAAGAAAAGGTTAATTTGTGTTCTCAATATGCTGTTTTAATAAGCAGGGAAATAGCAACTGGATTTCAGACAGGCACTGATAGAAATAGCTCAAATAAAAAGTTGTGTGGCAAAACCTTCTTTTTTTAGTCACGTAATGTAGAAAACCTCATTCACCGACATGATGGATAAGACATGCAATAGATCCCAAGTCTGTTCTTATAAGAGAGATGCTTCAGTGATCAACACTCTTCCACCAAGATAACCAAGCCTCCGCCCTCAAAGCCAGCATCCTATCGTTCCCCTGGCCGGCCTGAGAAGACCTAACTTCTCTGTGGCTGCTGGAGAGTTTTATGGCTGTTGTTCAAAGTGACATTAAGTTCGCTCTCATTTTAAGGCCATACACTGTTCCCTTGGCGATTACTTCAAAAATTCTGATAGGAAGGGGAAAAGCATTGCCAGGCACAGAATTAATCAATGTTAGACGCATTCCTTACCTGTCCCTTATTATGACTTCACCGCAGGATTGGCAATAAAATGTGCAGCAGTCTAGGGCTTCTGAGCTTTGATTAAACATTGAAGTCAGCTCTAAAGGAAATCAATGACACAGAAATCTTAGAGGTTTGGAACAAATATGTTAACACATTTATAAGAGTGTAACAGGCACAATAAATTACCATCAATAAATACTGTTTATGATGCACCCAGAAGCACACATTTAATTAGTATTATCTGATGACTCAACCAGAAGTAAATATTGTGAAGTGTTTTCAAAAACAACAGATTTTGCTTGTTGTTGCCTAGGTGTTGCCCAGATTGTTCATATAACACACTGTTATTTCTCTCATTCCATAAACACCAACATTAGAGAGGAAGAAAAAGGGGCTATTTCTTTCATACACAGAACTTCACCATCCTCAGCTTTCTTCTGCTACATCTGAGGTATAGTTTTTCATCATTGTGACTGCTGGTGAATAGAGCTTTTACATTTAAGTTTAATTTTATTTAAATAAGATGTATGTCCACTCTGGCATAATACCAGTATGTACAAACAAAATGAATCTTGAAACTGGTCTATTGGACAGGTTCCTGAGAATAGAATGGTTCCTAAGAGGAATTCAATCTTCTAAAAGCAAAACTCAATTTCTGCTTAAAGCTATAGAAAAACATATATTTTCTACATTATGTGAATTGCAGCATAAGTCAGTATGTTCTCTGTTTTCTTTATTTTATTCATTAAAAAAATGTTTTCATTCCCTCCTCCCCAGAAAACAAAAAAACAAACAAAAAACACAAAAATATGTGTCATATAAAAAAAATATAAAGAAATGAGGTCATGTCCATAAGAATCAAGCAATTTAAATTTGGTTTAGGTTACTTTGCATGTATGGTAAGATTAAGTAGACCTAGGTAAGGCATCCAAAATATTCTTTTCAGAACCAGTAAACAAATTTTCAGTGAAATACTCCCCTCTGCTGGTCATTCAGCATGATCCTCTAGCTCTGGATCAAGTCAGAACTTTCGGATACAGGACATCCTGGGAGAGCACTACCACCTGGGAATAAACCTAATGCTTGTGCTATATCAGATTTGTGTTCCATGTCAAGGTTATGATCTGACCTAAGTTACATTAAAAACAGTAGAACAATATGTTTACTATAGTCCCTAAAAGAAAGTTCTTACAATAGAAAAGGTGAGTTTTTAAAAACCGCATATCACCATTAAATGCTAAGAATTTCAAAATTCTCTTTCTACGATACATTCCGACTGATTCAAGCTTACATCATATGTATCTACCTATTATTTATTCATTCAGCACCTATTATGAGCAAAGCCCCAAAGCAATTAAGTGCTGAGGACTATTTCACATACCTTTTCATGCACCACAGAACAAGCTTTTGAAAGCTTTCCTTTTTAGATATTTGAGTAAAATATGTTTTAGAAATGTAGAGAAAACAGGAGACCAATGAATGCAAACTATATGCAAAACAATACATAGCAGTCAATTTATTTTGCCCTCTAGTCAAAACTAAACAATAATGCTTGCTGATTTAAAATTTTTTTTAAATAGTTCAAGTTTTGCTTATTGCATATAACTATTACAAAATATGGGTAGGTCCATGGTTGGCAAACTGCAGCTCGCGACCCACATGAGGCTCTTTGGCCCCTTGAGTATGGCTCTTCCACAAAATACCATGGCCTGGGCGAGTCTAATTTGAAGTGGCCTTAGAAGAAGTTTAAGTTTAAAAAATTTGGCTCTCAAAAGAAATTTCAATCTTTGTACTGTTGATATTTGGCTCTGTTGACTAATGAGTTTACCAACCACTGGGGTAGGTGATAAACCAAATCTGATTCTGAAAGGTCTCCTTACCCCCTAAATATGGACCCTAAAATCATGTTCCCAGAAAACTAACAGTAGATCTGAAAACACCCCACTCTGTCTGTTTCCCCAGTCACAGACAGACAAAAACCCCCTGCTGTGGCTGCTGTTATTGCTCATCACTGCCACAGAGAAGGTGAGGACGGGAGAAGGGCGGGCCAGACTCCCACGGCTTCTTCCCTGACACACCACCGTTAGGTACACTTGGGAGTGTTAGTGTGTTTCCCATCTTGGTGACCCACTCTTCTTTCTACGAATAGTCCAACAGTCATTCTTAGTGTTTATCTTATACCATTGAAGCTCTGTGACATTACTTTTCCCTACCTCTTATCCCTAAAACCAACTCTACCCAACTCAGACCAGTTATTCATCAACCCAGGACACCAGCAATATTACTCTCCAGCAAATAAGGAGCGAAACTCGCTATTTTCCATTCCCTTTCAAAAGCCAGCAAAAAGACTCAGGGGAACTGAAATAAGCTGCCATCTCTTAAACGGCTCTTCAAAACTATCCGCCTGACCCCACCTCTGGCTCCATGCAGTTCAGATGAAAGGCTTGGTGAAAATGAAGCAGCAGTGAAATCTAAGAGTACAGCTGGGAGAAATAAAATCCTTCTCTGATAACGAACATATATCAGTCTGTGACAGCCTCTGTTCTCCATTGTAACATCATTTTAATCCTCAAAAGTATATTACTTACAGGGTAATAAATGGAATAAACCAATAATTTTATTCAATAAATTATTCTGAGAGACACTTCTACTATCTTACTGAATCAATGTGCCAGTAACAAATACTGGAAATATGACAGGCATAGCAACATTCAAAATTAAATTATGCGTCATACTCAGTTTCAGAATCTTTGTATGTACTGTTCTATTTGGAAATGTCTCTATGTGGATGGGATCATTTCCATCATTCAGTTCTCTGGTTAAATATCGCCAACTCAGAGTGGCCTTCCCCTCACTCCCTAGCCCAGTGGTCAGTAAACTCATTAGTTAACAGAGCAGCAAACCGCGGCTCTCCATCTGCATGTGGCTTGCAAGCCGCAGTTTGCCGATCACTGCCCTAGCCCATCAGTCTGCTTTACTTTGCCCATGGCACTTTTCTCTGTATCCAAGTAATTAATTTGGTCATTTTCTATTCCCACCCATTACAATGTAAGCTCCATGAAGCCAGAGACCTCCTAGTCTGTTCACTTCTGTATCCCTAGAACCTAGACCCGTGGTCGGCAAACTGTGGCTCGAGAGCCACATGCGGCTCTTTGACCCCTTGAGTGTGGCTCTTCCACAAAATACCACGGCCTGGGCGAGTCTATTTTGAAGAAGTGACGTTAGAAGAAGTTTAAAAATTTTGGCTCTCAAAAGAAATTTCAAACATTGTACTGTTGACATTTGGCTCTGTTGACTAATGAGTTTGCTGACCACTGAACTGGAGCAATTCCTAGCTCACAGTATAAGGTAATGTTCACTGAATTAATGAATTTCTATGTAATGCTTTAAAATAAACTACATCTTGCATAAATCATCTTACTTCACCTTCATCTCAGCTCTGTGAGCCATGCAGTTTTACAATTAAAGAGACAAAGCAGGGGCATATGGAAAATCTTTGTGAACTTCTGCTCAATTTTGTTGTAAACCTAAAACTGCTCTAAAAAGTAAGTGATTAGGAAGAAACGAAAACCACTAAAAAAAAAAAAAATCTGAAAGAAACCAAAGCTCAGAAAGCTTATGTGCTATGTTTAACGGCACGTAGCTGATAAACGGCAGAGCTGGCTAAGACCCTTTCTGGATCTTCTCCACTCCCAGCTCCTTCCATGCTGCTGATGAGCATTTATTTCCACCTGGGAAAATTCAGCATTTTAAGGGGAAAGTCACCTTTGATTTGTAGTGAAAAGGTTAATGCAGAAACGGGAGTGCTAGCATTGCTTACCTGTGCTGCTGTGTTCTGCCCTCGCCTGCAGCCGCAGGTGTAGTCCCTCTCCAGCCACATACTGCAGGCCCCGGCCGGAGGAAGGCACAAGCCTGACCTCTGCTGGAAGGCAGATCTCTGTGCAGCCTCCAGGGGTTTTCACCAGGAGCGAGGATGGGGTTATGGAAACATCCATGGGCATGCCTCCTTCTTTGGGCTCTCTGGTAATTAAAAATAAAACACACAACAATTATTTCTCATCGCTGAAAATCACATGATGAAAGAAACAAAAACGACCAACGATCTCACTGTTCCTCTTCAGTAAAGGCCCTAACGTTAACTATCCCAGAAAAATAATAGTGAACCAATCACAAAAAAAAAAAAGTCTAAGCTAGATTTAGACCAGGAAAGAGAGCACTTTACACTATTATTGTAACATGAAAGTTCTGGGATAGATATTTTATGTTTGCTTCTTTTTTATGGTAATTATGCACTTTAAAATGTGCACTTTTTCCAATGATAATAATTGTGAGTCCAGTTCCAGCTCTGTCTTCTATCCTGAAGCTTCCTCCACCTGCTCCAGCCTGGACCTTCCTGACGTTGCTCCTAGGGCCACTCTGTCTACACAGCCTGTCATTCCACTTCCTCATGCTCCCTCCCCCCCATTCCCTCCCACAAGTCTCCCCAACTTCAGTTTCCTCAAACAAGCTCGGTCTAACCCTGGCCTGTCAAATGTCATGCACTTGTTCCTTGAAATATTTTTGGGAAGAGAATTCAACAAGGCAGCCTAAGACACTCGCTTATTGATCTTTGCATTCCTTGACAATGGCTTGTACATTCATTCATTCACTCATTCATTCAAACTATCTTTTGTGAGTTCTATAATGTGCCAGGTACTGGGAATATAACAATTAACAATATATTTTCTCTGCTTTCCCCTCCCCCAACTAGGGGACAGGTAAGTAAACAGGAATGCTCAAGGGATCAGTGGAAACTACTTGTACTTATTCCTGACAAATACAGGTTATTATGGAAGCACATGGAGGGGGTTAGTGACAACCATCAATCGAGCACTAATTTAATGATATTTGAATAATGAATGAATGAGTGAAATACTCCTGCTCCTGAGACCAGCATTACAATGTGTTTTTTAAAATTTTATTTTATTTCTTTATTAAGGTATCACATATTTGTCCTCATCCCCCCTCCCATTCCTATCCCAAATCCCTCCCCACGCATGCCCCCATTCCCCTGTTGTCTGTGACCACTGGTTAGGCTCATATGTATGCACACAAGTCTTTTGGTTGATCTCTCTCCCTTATCCCTACCCTCCCCTACCTTCCCTCTAAGGTCCAAGAATCTGATTGATGCTTCCCTGTTTACTTTCAGTAAATTCAAGCGTTGTTATTGGTATATAGGATTTTGATAAGGAGATCAGGATTATATTAAATAAAAGGTTCAGGAGAAAAAGTTTTCTTATCAACATTAAGAATAAAAAAAAAAAAACTACAAAAATCTATTGAGTATGAACACTAGGCATAAAATGACATAAATCCAGTTCACTACAAACGCAAATCACTCAGTATAGGCAATAAAGAATAACACACAGTCCCCATCCACAAAAATATTAAAGGGGATTAAACATATAGAGAAAGGATTCTCATATAAAGCTGAAATATGCTCAGCACTGTAACAGAGGACTCCTTCTTAAAAGCAGTCAGCATGTGCAGGCCATCCACTTTGTGTCACCTCATTTCAGAATGCGCGTTATCTTCATAGTGTCATTTAAGTTCAGAGGTCAAACCCTGAGTTCAGGTGTGAATCTTGGTTAGGCCCCTTAATTGCCTTAGAAAACCTTAAGACTACCTTCTGGCTAGCTTCTTCTCAAAGTATAAGGATCTGCACTTAATTTGCAACATAGAATATCAAAAACCACATATTTCCCCAAGTCAAAAGTCTGATTTTAAGAAATTATGTTTAAGAAATAATAATCCTCACACGGTCAGTGTTGCTCAGTGGTGGAGCATCAACCCATGAACCAGGAGGTCATGATTTGATTCCTAGCCAAGGCACATGCCTGGGTTGTGGCCTGATCCCTAGTAGGGGACATGCAGATTGGTTCTCTCTCATCGTTGATGTTTCTGTCCATCCCTCTTTCTGAAATCAATAAAAACATATGTTAAAAATCCTCTAAAGCAGAGGTCAGACAACTTTTCATATAAAAGCCAGATTGTAAATATTTCAGGTTTTACAAGCCATATATGGTCTCTGTTGCATATTCTGCTTTGTGTTTTTCTTTTTTAACAACCCTTTGAAAAATGTAAAACACATTCTCTGCTCACAGGCTGTACCAAAAAAGGCTGCAGGTTAGATTTGACTCCTGGGCCATAGTTTGACAATCACCATTCTAAAGATGCCCCCACTCCCACCCCCTTTCTGGCTTACCACTCTTCCCCTTATCTTCCCTGAAAAAATCAGCCCATGACACAGGGCCAAGTAAGAGTCACTTTATGATGAGAAGTCTAGCAGACACCGCTTTAAGTACTCAAGGTTAATGTGAAATTTAATTGAACTGATCCAATCAAAATCATGCGCCATCTCATAGGTTGTACTGAGAACACAGAATCGTCTCTCTGACATTACTGCCAAAGATGTATAACCTGAACCTAATTTTGAGGAAACACAAAACAAACCCCAAATGAAAGGATATTCTACAAAATAATTGGGCTGTAATCTTCAAAAGTGTCAGGATCAGGAAAGTTAAGGAAACCTGAAGAACTATTCCTTCCAAAGTAAACCTGGCACTGAATGAACTGGATTCCTGTGCTGTCACAGATACTATGGAGACAGCAGGCAAAACTTGAACGAGGTTTGAGTATAAGAAGACAGTAACCGATATTTCCCAATTTTGAGGGTTGCCTGGTGGTTAGGTAGGAAAATGTGCTTACTTGTAGAAAATCCACAGTAACATATTCAGGTGTAACAGCAACTTATCCCAAGTTTGCTATCAATCCAAAACAAAGTTTTTGAAACTCTAATTGTTAGCACTGTTTATAACTTGAGGCTTTCTTCACTATCCACTTGTCACATTTTTAAAAAATTTCTTTATTGATTAAGGTATTTGTCCTCAACCCCTCATTCAAATCCCCCACCCTTCCCCACTCATGCCCCCATCCTCCCCATCCACTTGTCACATTGTGCTTGAAACTATCCAGTAAGTTCATATCTTTTTTTTTTATATATATATATATATATATATATATATATATATTTTTTTTTTTTTTGATTTTTTACAGAGAGGAAGGGAGAGAGATAGAGAGCTAGAAACGTCGAGGAGAGAGCAACATCGACCAACTGCCTCTTGCACACCCCTTACCGGGGATGTGCCTGCAACCAAGGTACATGCCCTTGACCGGAATCGAACCTGGGACCTTTCAGTCTGCAGACCGATGCTCTACCGCTGGGCCAAACCGGCTTTGGCCAGTAAGTTCATATCTTGTCCTGCGTACCAACTAATGTCTCTTCAATGGTGTATAAGACCCAGTGACATACTGGAGCCATGTGTGAAAGTTGCAGGCATTTTGCAAACCAGTTGATCTCACTTTGGCAGCTTTTGACATCATCCAGAGTGCAAGTATTAGCACCACAGAAATGAGTAAATGCTGCAAATCTGGGAGGTTTTGGTTTGGTTGCTTTGTTTTCCTGGAGTGCAGGCTGCTAAACACTCACGGGCACACCACTTATGACCCTTTGTTATGTGTTCCATCAGCCCACCCACATCTCCATGCACTAAGCACCCCTTCACTCAGAGGAAAACAGTCTTCTGCCAGCTATCCTGTAGTTCCAAACCAAAGTTCTTTCAGATTATTACTCAAATCTTGCTTTTGCCTTTGGAATAACAATGTAATTTTTCCCCCTAGCCCTTTTTCTGCTTCATTTTTTTTCCAGGTGCTTATCTGTATTCAACATATGTGTATCTTGTTTATTTTGTGTGTCTTTTTTTCTGCCTAATTCTCACCCACTGCCACCATTAGACTGTAAATTCAATGAGAATAAATATGTTTGTCTTTGCTCTTATTACTGTCCACAGCTGAATACCCATACTTAGAATCTGGAGATTTGGCAACAGAATAGGAATTCAGTAAATATCTGTGGATTGAATAAATGAATGGCTTAGGTTTATCCCAGGAATACTAAGATGGCTTGACATAAATAGATTTTTCTAATGCAACTCACAGATGTAAAGATTAAATAAAAAATATGATAATCACAAAACATGCAGAAATAATTGCAGATAATATCTATTCATGATTAAAAGCCTTAAACTAGGCCCTGACCAGGTAGCTCAGTTAGAGAATGGTCCTGATACACCAAGGTTGTGGGTTCAATCCCTGGTCAGGGCACATATAAGAGTCAATTATTGAATGCATAAATAATTGGAACAACAAATTGATTTTTTAAAAAAATCAATAAATTAAAACACACATACCCTTAAACTAGGAAAAGAACTATGCAATCTACCAAACAGGTTGGCACAAAAATCAACTTCATCATACTTAAAGATTAAATACTACAAGCATTTCTTTTAAGATTAGGAACAAGAATAAAATTCAATCATATCATTAACTGTAAAATATGTAGACTAAAAATTCCAATTAACATGCAGAAATTGTCAGAATGAATTTTAAAATTTAAAACTTCACTCAATATGTTATAAAAATTTTATGTATAAAGACATAGATTGAGAGTAAAAGTGTAAAAAAGGCCATACCATGCAACCAGTATAGTCAACTGATTTCTGAAAAGAAACTGAGTTATCTCAATGGGAAAATGACAAGTCTTTTTAACTGATGGTGACAAAACAACTGGATATCCTTATGGGGGGGGGGGGGGGGGAGGAGAATTTAACCCCTGCCTCATTCCAAACACAAAAATGTATTTACCATATTCACAGATCTAAATGTAAAAGCTTAAACTATGTTAAGTCCTAAAAAATAAAAAGAGGAAAATACATCTTTACAAGCCTGAGGTAGACAAGGATTTCTTAAGATACAAAAACACTTAATCATTAAGGAAAAATGCAATAAACTGGATTTCCTTATAATTAAAATTTTTTGTTCATAAAAAAAAAAGCTATTAAGAAAATGAAAAGTTACACACTGAAACTATTTAGATACAACGCATGAATGAGAAAAGTGTTTTCCAGACTATATAAACAACTTTTCAAATTCAACAATAGGACAACCTGATTTTTTAATGCCAAAGCATTATAAGGTACCTTACAAAGGAACATATATGAATAACCAAAGAACAAATAAAAGGTACTCAACATGCAAATTAAAATGACAGCGAGATCCCACTTTATATCAGGAGAATGATACAATAAAAGAGCCTTACTACACTAAATGCAGAGGAGAATGTGAAGCAATTGGAATTTTTTTTTTTCTGGTGAGAGTGTAAAATGGTGCAACCACGTCGGAGGTTGTTTGGCAATTCTCATAAAGTAAAGCCCACATCTGCCCTATGACCCATCGGTTACCTGTGAGAAATGAAAATGCATGCCGACAAAAAGACTTATACAACCCTGTGTGGCAGCTTTATTCATAATAAGCCAACTCCAGAACAGAGGTGGGAAATGACGGTCTAAGGGCTGTATAAGGCCTGCGGGCCATATAAGGCCTGAGGAGTCATTTGGTCTGGCCCAGCCAAGGCATTAGGGGTGAGTTAATTAAATGTTTGAGCAAATATAGCAGGCTGATGTTTAAGTTGATAATTTTTGTATGGCCCACAAATGATGTTTTAAGTATCCAAATGGCCCTGGGCAGAAAAAAAAAAACCCCACAAAAAACAAGGTTTCCTACCCTCCTCTAAAACCACAAACTATCCAGCAACAGAGAATGAATACATGAACGGTCATATGTTCTTTCAGTGGAAAGCTACTCAGCAGCAAAAAAAGAACTGGATTACTTATGAATTCTACGGCAGGAATGAAACAGGAATCTCGAAACACTGTTGAAGGAAAGAAGCCAGAAACAACAACAAAAAAGTGAGAAATGGCAAAACCAATCTGTGCTGAATGAAATCAGAACACTGGTTGCATTTAGAGTAGAGGGAATTGATTGGTGATACAGCCCAATCATCAAAGACCACAGGGACAAACCAGTAGTCCAGCAGTTAGGTTTCTGAACTTGCTCACACAAGGGAGAGCGATCCGGGCCAACCCTGAAGGCAGCAGGGAGGTGTTTCGTTTTGTGTAAGGTTTGGGTCCCTACTCACCCTACAAAGTGAAATGGAATTGGAGATACTTATTTGATGTGAGAGCCAGAAAGAAGTAAATATCCCCATTTTATAATTGGGGGGAAAACAATCAGACTAAGCAATTCTACTTTTGTGAAGAAGCTAGGATTTGTATTCAGTTCGCCTGCCAAATGCAAAACTGCCAGACACCTGGCTGATTTAAGGAAAAGAGATTTAAAGCTAAGCCTCCACCTACCTCACAGGGGCGCTGTGTAATAAACGTTTTTAGGCGTTTAATATCTAATTTGCTGTATGTGAAACAGTGGGCACTGGAGAAAGGATCACATACTACAAAACAAAACACAAAGAACCCTTTCCTAACAGTTTCATATTTACGTCGCGGAGAGAGAGAGAAAAAAAAGAACAAGCTACAGGGTTTGCAGACTTCCCCGAGGACTCTGAGGAACAGGATGGGCTGCAGCAGGCAGACCGCCTCGGTCAGTCACGCACTGAGCACACGTTTTAAATAAGGGCTGTGTCCGTTTCTCTGCGCACAACAGGGTGGGCGGGGGGGAAACACCGACTTTATTTACAAAGCAGGAAGGGCGCTTGGGAACTGACCCTACCGTGAAGGTCCTTGAAAGAGGCGGGCCCGGCGGTTTGGGGCACCGTTTCCTTGGAAACGCCCGATGGTTCCCATCGGCGCCCCTCGCACGTGACCGCGCCTGAACCCGGAAGCACGTGGAATGCCAGTCCGGGTCCCTCAGGTCCGGCAGCAGCTCCCAGGTGATGCCCAGGTCCGGGGGCGGAGGGCTGTAGGAGAGGGAGCCCTGCACCCTGAGGGATCAGGAGAGCTCTAAGCACCTGGACAGAGGAAATTCAAGAGTCCATCCTCCCCGGGGAGGCCGAGACTTGCCGGTGGCTTAAGAGCGAGCTGGACACGGCGCCCCGGAGCCCACACCGGATCCCACCCCTGGCCTTACCCCAGGACCAGCAGCGCGCTCTGCAGCCGCCTCCGCACCTCCAGGAACACGCGCGTCTCTGCCGGCGAGGCCATGGCGGGCGCCCAGACCGAGGTCCCAGCTCAGCCGCCTCCGGGGCGAGGGGCGCCTCCTCTGCACGTGCGGCTCCAACACTGGCAGCATCTGCGGCCGCGGCCCGGGATTCAGGGATCCGCTCGCAGGGCTGAAACAGCCAGCCCACAGCGCCACCTGCCGGGCGGAGAGTGCGCTGCCTAGAGGACTCCATGTGGGGAGGGGGCATGAGCATTTTTCAGGGCAGGTTTGGGGGTTCTGAGCCTTGGGAAGGTGGGTGGGAGAGCCAAATTGTCTTCCCACTCCTCCTCCTCCTCCCCCTCTTCCTCCCCCTCCTCCTCCTCCCCCTCTTTCTTCTCCTCCTTCTCCTTCCTCCTCCTCCTCCTTCTCCTTCTCCTTCCTCCCCCTCCTCCTCTTCCTCCTTCTCCTCCTCCTTCTTCTTAACATTTTATTGATTTTTTTACAGAGAGGAAGGAAGAGAGAGAGAGAGAGAGCGAGAGCGAGAGCTAGAACCATCAGTAAGCTGCCTCCTGCACACACACCCCACTGGGGATGTGCCCACAACCAAGGCACATGCCCTTGACCAGAATTGGACTGGAACCCTTGAGTCCGCAGGCCACTCTGCTTCTTATGGGTGTGGCCTGATGCTTTAGTCTCCTTGGAAATAACCTTAAAAATCAGACGTACTACATTCCTTTGGCCGGCATGGATAGAGATGAGGCTGGAAGAGAGGGAGCTGATAGAGGGAGGCAATACAGGCAGTCACAGTCCTCCGGAGGCCCAAGAACAGAATTCTTTACCCCAAATACTCTGTATTTTGTTTTTGTGTTTTGTTTTGGTTTGGTTTGTTTTTATGGACTATGATCTCATTTTTATGACCTATGGGCAGAAGCTCCTTCAGTAGCTCTTCTCTTTCTGAGGCCACATAAGTCCAGGATTGATGTGACATTGCTTCTCAAGTAAGACAGAATTGCTCCAAGTTGCAAACGTGTAAGAAGTTTTCTGTTCCTTAGCAGAATAGAGTGTATTAAAACCAGTAACATGGATCACAGGATTAATCATTCCTATAAGCTTTGAAAAAAGGAAGATGAGAATGATTCCTTGTGTACATTTTCACTATTCACTTTTGTGGGAGTAAAAACGGACTCAGAGCCAAAACCGGTTTGGCTCAGTGGTAGAGCGTCGGTCTGTGGACTGAAAGGTCCCAGGTTCCATTCTGGTCAGGGGCATGTACGTTGGTTGCTGGCACATCCCCGGTAGAGGGTGTGCAAGAGGCAGCTGGTCGATGTTTCTCTCTCATTGACATTTCTAGCTCTCTATCTCCCTTCCTCTCTGTGAAAAATCAATAAAATATAATAAAAAAATAATTTCTTAAAAACTGACTCAGAGAAGTCCTAATCTTATTACTACCAGCAGATTACTTGGGAAAGTTTGACACAGTAAAGAAAAGGTATAGTATATTGTAAATACTTACAGTAGGAAATACTAAAATATAAGTCCATGGAAGGATTATAAGAATTCTTTAAAAGCAAAAGGCTGTTTTTTAAAAACAGAAACAGTGAATATTTGTATACAGAAAATCATATGTTTATTGATGTTCAACTTTATTATTTCAAGGTCATAATTACCACACACCAAACATTCATCTAGACATTTTCTGAGTATATAATTTCTATCTTAGAGACACTAGTTTGACAATATTTCTAAAATTAGTATTTGAGCCCTAGCTGGTATGGCTAAGTGGATAGAGTGTCAGCCTGGTTGGGGTGTGGTGCAGGAGGCAACCAATCAATGTGTCTCTCAAATTAATGTTTCTCTCTCTGTCTCTCCTTCTCTCTTCCACTCTTTCTAACATTCAATAGAAAATTATCCTTGGGTGAGGATTAACTAAAATTGGTATTTGAAGTTTTAAAAGTTTATCATGTTGCTTCACAAATTTCTGTATCCATCACAATGATTCAACAACACAGAATTAATTTTACTACTATTCTATCTCAGGTGATGATTTCAACTCATATCTTCTTTAATTCTCAAGGCTAGGCTGTTAAGTACTTAAATAACATTCTTAGCAGAGTATGCTCTTCATAATTGGTTTGATTATTTTTATTTTATTATTTTTAAAAATATATTTTTATTGATTTCAGAGAGGAAGGGGAAGGGAGAGAGAGATAGAAACATCAATGATGAGAGTGAATCCTTGATTGGTTGCCTCCTGGATGCCCCATAATGGGGATCAAGCCTGCAATCTGGGTATGTGCCCTGACAGGGAATCAAACCTGTAACCTTCTGGTTCAATGGTCAACGCAATCACTGAGCCAAGCCATGTGGGGGATTTGATTATTTTTAAATATTTTTATATTTTTACATTTGTAAAATATATATATTGACTCTATGGTTTAGGCAAACGAGTGCAACCCTCCTTGTAATAACGACGTGATTTAGAGAGTTCTAGGTTCAAACAGACCAATAACAACTATTGGTCTTCCCTCTGGGCCTCAAGGTCAGCCTAAGAAATACAAAGGTATTATTTAAATTATATTTAAACAGTTATTTAAACCATACTTAAATAATTATTTAAACGATATGAAAAGCTGTTTTCAACTCCTAGCATCCCCTCAAACAATCAGGATAGGTAGGGCTGGCGCTGGCAGGAGTTAAAAACACCTGCTACAAACCCCTTTGCAGGGCCGCTTCCCTGACACTCCGCCTGAGGGCGCTGTGGCCTCCGCTGGCGCCAAGAACAGGGGAACGGGACCAGGGGGTGGCTAGAGAGCTCGTCGACGTCGGCGCCGGCGTGGGCGTGGGCGCCGGCGCGGTGCACGCTGGGAGCTGTCACTAGGCCCTCCGGCTCCCGGCCTCCGTGTAGCGGCCGCGGTTGCCAGGAGAGCGGCGCCGGCGGGAGCGGAGCGGCGGAGCCCACGGCAGGTAACCGCGTCCCCGCCCCCGCAGCGGTCTCGAGGCCGGCCGCTGGCTCCGAGCGGCTTCCCCGGCCTGCGGGGTTCCGGGGCCGCGGGGACGTGCCGGGTGCGGCTGCCGCGGCGGCGGGGGTGATGCCGCCCTGGCCCCGCAGGGAGCCGCGACGCCGGGCGGCCGCCCTCGGGTCTCCGGGGAGCGCGAGCGGGAGCTGCGGGCTGGGGCGGGCGGGGCGGGCGGCCGGCCGGGCGGCCCGGCGAGGCGGCGCAGGTGTGTGGCGGGTCCGCCCGGCCTCGGGCGCTGGGGCCGGCGGCGCCAGGTGGGAGGGAGGTCGCACCTGTGCGCTGGAGGCGCGCGGGGCAGCCTCTTTGTGGGCGGAACCCAGGCCTGGAGCGGTCCCCCTGGTGTGCGGGGTCCCTGTGAGCGTGTGACCCCATCCTCGGGGAATGGCCCACGTGAGGGCCGGAGCGGAGAGCCGCGGTGGACGATAGGAAGTCAGGTTAGTCATAAGGAAGTTGTTAACAGTGGTTACCTTTGATTCCCAAGGCTTTTCCAGCGGCTGCGGGAACTGCAGTTACCTGTTCCGCCCCCTCCATTCTCCCGCCCCGAGGGGGAAGGAGTGGCACACAACGATGCATTTTTTCTTTTAACGCCCTTTAGGAGCTACTCTTTTTTTTTTTTTTTTTTTTAAAGAGATTATATTTTTAATATGTTTCAGAGAGGATGGGAGAGGGAGAGAGAGATTGAAACATCGATGAGAGAGAATCTCTGATAGGCCGCCGGCTGCACGCCCCCAATGGGGACCCAGCCGGCCACCCAGGGGTGAGCCCTGGACGGAAGTTGAACCTGGGACCCTTCAGTGCGCAGCCCCCGCTCTGTCCACTGAGCGCTCTATCCACTGAGCCAAGCCAGCGAGGGCAACTATTCTTTTTTAAAAGCCACGTAAATTGTGTTTTGATCCATCTTACATCTCTATGGAGTTTGAGAAACATAAATATGGGGGGGGGGGATTTGATTTGGAGATTAGTTAAAGCAATCAAGACTTTTTAATAATAATTACAAAAAGAGTTAGGAAGATGCCTGATACATAAGCCTTGAACTATAGGAGGGGAAATACCACTTTTTCGTTGTTATTGGCTATTTTCTATGCAGACATAGACCCTAATTTTACTGTGAATAACATGTCAGCATTAGGTGCTAAGTAATTCACCACCTGATGATAAAGGACACAATGATTTAGTTGAGCCGACAGAAGTTATAACGAATAAACTAACATCAGTTGTAGTACAAATGCTTTATTTTTAGTGCTTACTTTCAGCTGCCACTCTGAACCACATAACTCCCCAGTATATTGCTAAATAATAGCAAATCTCCAGGTGGACATGATTATTGGGATCTGAAGTCTTTAAGGAAGAATTAAAAACACCTACGTTAATACACAAATGTGATACCACAACCAAAATGTTAAGTGTAAATTAAATGTTAGTTAAATGTTTAACGATATATATAAAGTCAAAGGAGTCCTATTCACCTAAGTTCTGCTAACCTGGTATGAGCTCTCTGGGCCTCAGTTTTGTCATCTGTTTAAGGGAATTTCATAAGCTTAGTGTTTTTCAAACTGATGTTTCACCCTGAACCCTGTTCTGAATTCCATAATAATAGGCTTACTGCCCAAAAACAGTGTTCCATGGCAATTGATTTGGGAGCACATTGGGTTTAGTCAGGAGTTTAACTTTTGATTTGCTTTTAACTGCAGGACTTCTCAAAACCTTTACTACTGTTCTTCTATGCATGTAAATTCTCAAGGGAATGTTACTGAAGCATTTCCTAAACCTACCAGGACCCAGAGCTTATTTTCTCATAGCCAACCTGTTACCATCTAGAATATAATTACAGCAGGTCCTAGAATGACATTTCCTTCAGTGTAGTTTCCTTGTATCATTCCTGTAGGAACTTGTTTATGTCGGTCAGCTTATGGCAAAATTGGTTTCCTTATGTCATTTCACTTCAGTTTCAAGAATACCAATTGTATATAGAATACCAATTTAGAAAGTATAGCACTTGACTTGAGTCCTCTTTCCACTCTGAAATTCCGCACAAGGCTTTCATG